TACATACTCAACAAATTATTGATATTCCACATCCTAATTTTTTATTCGGTTTGAAATAAAAAACATAAAATACTACCTGTGATTATAATTATTGTTGAACAATTAGAGCGACGAGAAGCATTTAGGAATGAAAATATTTGGAGAAGACAGTTCAATGGGTCCATTATAATCTTTACCGGACAAAAAATTTGTGTAATTATTTCGCTTACATAAAAATATTGTATGTAATTTAATTATGTCTATTGTTTGACATTTAAAAGAAAAAGAACTTCGGAAACTATTCAATTCAACATTAAATTATTTTGTGCTTTCTGGTTTTATGCACGGTGAACATCACTGGAATGAGTAGACTTCTTGCTTCAAGTCAACAAACTATTAATAGAGGTATAAAGAAAGTCACATATATTAAAACCTCACCAACATTAGAGAAAAATATTCCGGTAAATACACACTCATGACAAGAACAAGATTTGTAATATTATGCAGTATTTATATTTATTTAATGCATAGGTACCATTATGTTTATTAATATCAATGATTGCTCCTAAAGAACATAATTATGTTAACAGAAAAGGTATTATTCAAAAACTTTTCAAATAGTTGTAGATATATAGAAACCAAGGATTTTATACAAGTCCTTGTAAAGTATTTCACATTGGGTTAGGTTAAATACATAAAAATAAACAAAACACAAACGCAAACACATATTTGTCATGTTAAAAAGAAACAGCAATAGTCAATACATGTGATAGAAGAAGAGAGCAAATCATTTCGGCTAGCCAAGACTTCTCGATATTATATCGATTCTAATGGGCGGGGTTTCGATATTATTTCGATGGCAAAATTTTCAAGAGTACCGATACACCGATATTATTTCGATCTCGATTCGGAATCATCGAATCGGCATTTCGGGAGTCCCTGCACTGATGCCCCCACCACTTTTTTCGAAATAGTTGTGTATCCTAACACAGGTGACGCTAGCGTCGCAGGCAATTTTTCGGGAAACCCTATTCTTAGCCAATTTTTCGCAACCATTAAGTATATACCGATATACCGTGTGTGTGGCCCAGGACCCGGATAGATGTAACGAGAGGTATAACGGGCAAATTTAATTTTGAATTAGTATTTGAAGATTAAGTTCTGGTTGCTGTAATACTAAAGTAACGAAAAATGTATTGATTTAATGTTGTACAGAGTATTTTATGAGCAAACTTGCAAAAAATCCGTTAATCAAGTGCTTTTATATTTAAAGATATCAAAAAAATTCTACTGTAAAAAGTTATTTAGAAGGCAATTTTGTGTGGACATGTATAATCATAATCGACCATGTGCCGGCGTCACCAGCCGACACGAAGGACGAGTCAATGTCCACCTGTGTCATTTAATCGCGGTCAAGCCAAGACATGACAATCCCCTCCTCAGGCAAGCCGTTGACTACGTACCCGACGTGACCGACAAACACAAAAGACCTAGACACCAACATTTTGACCCTGGGTGACCACCCAATGACCCCCCCCCCTGCCCGCTAACCTTTTCTGTTTCAGAGACAGCTGGGATCAAGAAACGAAGACAACGACACACACACACATACACACCCCCCTTACCCTCCTTTCCCCTCCCCTCCCGCGCTAGCCTAAGGGCCACCTTAGCAAAGCGCATCCCAGGCTGCATAGCCGCACTACCCTACCCAACCATACCACACATAAACATGACACTACCCCCGGGGTTTACACAGACGAGCCGGCGAAGCAAGAAGAGCGCCAGAAGAAAGGGCCCTAGCCGGCGGGGCCCAGCCAGGACAAAAGGAGGTCCCACAAAGCGCCTACACCGGCCGCATTTGCGGTCGGGGTAGACGACGGATGGGGCCCACCTACGAAGGCTGTCCAGGCCTACACGAGATGAGGCAGGATAAAGAGGGATAATCCCCCTCGATCCCAAATCATTGAGGCCAATTTCTAGCCATAG